GACTTCAATCTGCTTTGTCTCTCATATTTATACTTTTTTTTCAAAATAGCTCTTCTAATAATGATAGTTCTAGTCAATAACTTGATTAGTAAGAATATTTTAGGAAAGACAACACCTATTTAAAACAAATAACTAACTCAATTTACTTTCTTAATCTTCTCAAATTAGTCAATTGACTCTTATAATTAGAACCGAAAATAGTATTAAATATTTCTTAAGTAACATAATACTACTTTCGGTACTATAAATGAGGTTTTATAATTAGAAACAGAGATAGTAGCAACTAGCATTAGAGACTCAAAAGAATATAAAATTCTTTTCTGCAGGATCAATAGAATAAAGTGAGGTTAATTATCATGTGAAATGATGAAAATAACCTTATAAGAAAAAGGAAATATAAAGGAAGAATGGAAGAAAGTAGTTCACGCCATGCTCAATAACTTTGCGATTGATAACCATATTTTCAAATTTTAACAAGTTAATCTCTAATTGTCCTTTTATTGGCCAAAAAAAAAATCTCTATCTGTCATAGGTTATCTACCCCATTATTTTACCAAAGTTATCCACCACATTTAATTGTAATGAAATTTCAAGTTACTCTTTTGATTCTTAATATAAGACCTATTTAACTAATTTGATTAGATAAAGAAGTTAGGTAAGTTATTTAATTATAAGAAATGTGACACGTTTTTTTTTCTAAAATACCATAATCATCTTTTTCTTAATATCCCCTCTTCTTCTTCTACTTGATTATGGTTGGGGAAATATCCATTGGGGTAATTTAGAGAAAATTGATAAATATGAGAAATAAGTCTTATATTTAGGATCAAAACTAACTTAATAATTAGTTCTTATATTAAAGACCGGAGAAGTATTAACATAAAAAAAATTTAAAAAAAAAAAGGTTTCAGAAAATGATGACATATGGGTCTGCAGAAGAATTTCATATTCCTTTGGGTATTGATGCTATTTTGTTGTTTATGGGGCCCTTTAATGAAGTTCTCACTTTTCCATTCAGTCCTCAAGGCCCCATTTTGAAAGCTAGGAGAATTACACTGAAGTGAAAAAATCATAATAATAAAATAAGTCCGAAAACTTATAATTTTTTATTCGAAAATTTATTATTATAAGCTATTGTAATTTTTATTAGGATTTTTTTAGTTTTTTTAGACTTTACTGTAATTTTTTTCTTAAAAGTTTCTTATGCAGCTTGATGTTTAATTAACAATCAATAAATTACGACTCTCGAGAATAGAAGGACCACACTCCACATAAGACATATCCCAAAAGAAAGTTATGGTCCTCAATGTAAATCGTTTCTTATTAATTAAAACCCCCCCGCCCCCCAAAAAAAACAAAAAAGAAAACGAAATACCCTCTTAAACAAATTCCAAGGTAACATGCAGGTATAAAATGATGACGTTTGTTGAATATGAACATGAAAAATTGGAAAGTGATCGAAAATTTTTGTTAGCAAAAAAAAATTCCATTTTATTAATAGTCAAAAAAAGATTACAACCACTAATAGTCTAGAGGCCGAAAAGACAAACATTCAAAAAAAAAAAAAAACACCAAACAATCTAACACAACAAACTCACAGAAACCAAAAAGCACACTAAAACAAGCATCCATCCGGTACCGGATCTTTCACTGTACTCTTCCAAACATTCTGCCATATCAACATCCAACACAGCAACCAGAGGGGATGGTGGTATCACAAGCCATCCCGCAGGAACCACACCCCTTGTTGCCTTTGCTACGAGACAATTCGCGGCCTTGTTCCCCAACCTATTAAACCAAAATACTTTCCAATTTTGTATTAGATGATAGGACATCCAAACACTTATTGCACTGTTTCAGAAGAGCACCACTCACCACCACAAGAATTCCTCCACTTCACAAAGCGATCGAAATTTAAAACAATTTTATTGCTCTTTAATGAACTTATGTTTGGTTTCAATATAATTATTACTATCCTAGTTCTTAAATATAAGAACTAGTTGATGATCCTAAATATAAGACTATAATATATTTTGTCTTTTAAATTTATAATATGTTGTCAAAAATTACCCTATTGATCATAAAATTTTAATCTAGTCTAGTTTTAACGAATATGATTGAAGAAAAATAATTTAAAAAAGTCAATATATATTTATTATAAATAATTAACTTAATATATATTTTTTAATTCTTTCAAATTGATTATTTAATTCTTATATTAAAATCAGAGTGTACTACTTGATTAGACATAACTCATGTACAAGCCAAAGAAAATATTGTGCGTGCATAAGTGATAAGTGCGCGCTTCTCGTAATAACAATATTTAACAATTCAGTTTATCGCCTGGTCCACACACATTACGAGAACAAGGCATGTAAACGAGTAGAAATGTCTCGTACATTAACTTGTAAATAATAATATAATTTTATAAAAAAATTTAATTTAAGATTTAGTAATTCCAGATTCTTTTGTGGGGTTTTCTCCCCAAGAAAATTTTTTTTCTCATTAGTTGGACTTTTTTCTTGGCGGTGAAAATTGTTCAATAATAAGGATAACTTAGAAAAAAGAATTAATATGAAAAGCTAGGAAATATATAATTTTAAAGGGATTATGATCTTGAACTAAACCAAATTAATTTCTCAAACAAGAAGTGCTTTCTCTGATTTTTATTATAAGAGCTAGTTTGACATTCAATTTGATTCTAAATATAAGATCTCAACCCATTTTGTTTCTTATATTTATTTATTTTTTTAAGATAATCCTTGTAGTAATTGCATAAGTTAAATATTTTTAAAAAAGATTATATCTATTTATTACAAATAATTAAAATAACTAATTTTTTTTAATCTTCTCAACGTAGTAAATTAACTCTTATAAAGACTAGATATAGTATATAATTTTAAAGCCAGATCAACTCTTTCTTTTACTTGGAAAAAAAAGTAAAAAAAAAAAAAGATAAGGCGCGCATTTTTCAGGCCACATCACTTATTAAGGTAGTGAGGTGTCAAGGAAAAAAAAAAAACAAGTTATTAAAAAGTTGCAGAGTCCCACACAATAAGCAAATAGCATCAACAAAAAAAAACAAAACAAACTTTAGTTTTATTAGCTAGATGTGAGACTCCGGTAAAAAAAAAAAAAAGCTAGATGTGAGATATTTTTCTGTTTTCCAACGGGAGCCTGCTTTCTAGAGCCGTCAAAACGGGCCAAACCCATCGGGCCAGTCCTTTTAAGCCCTTTTAAATAGTGGGTCGGGCTTGTATTTTAGGTGGTTTAAAAGGAAATTAGGCTTAAAAGGGCTAGCCTTATAGGGCTCAAAAATAAAAGGGCCAACCCTTTAGGGCCAAGGGCTAGCCCTTTTAAGCTCACCTATTTTTTTTAATTATTATCAATATATTTATAAAGTTATAGATTAGTCTTTTATGAATAAGTTTAAATTAGAAAAATACCTAGAAGAGTCAATACTCAAGCTAGATAATTGAAAAGAATTAAATGTCTTGGACTTGTAGAAGAACAATTAAAATCAATTTTCAATTCTTTCAAGAATGGTAATTGATATTCTTAACATTTTAATCACCATAATAACTAGTAGATTTTCATTTACCATCGGTTTACATATCTTAACAAAGTGTAAAACTTTTCTTATTCGAACAAATGTTCAGGTTCTTATTTGTACTTATAACTACTGCATGGTTTTATTTTATAGAAGGTAAATGAAGACAAAAACCTTAATATTTTTATCACTGAAGAAAAGCTCACTAGTAGTAAAGAACAATCAAATATTGCTGATCTTGATGATACTGATGAAGATGAAGATAAAGATAATAATTATGTTGATATTGTTAATCTTTAACTGCTAGGTTTTATCTTTCTGTTTTTCGTGTTTTGTTAGATTTTGATTTTTTTTATTTTGGACAATAGTTTATTGGCATTTAATTTTTTTTTTCTATACACCACTAATTTATTTTACTTATATTTATAATTTGAATAAAAAATCTTAGAAGTCTTGTTGTTTTATTTTTTATTTTAAAATAATTAAAAAGAATTTAAATTTTAAAAAATAACATAAAAGGGCCAGCCCTTTTAAGCCCTGAGCCCGCATGCCTAAGGGCCGGGCTTTAATAATTAGATAATTTTAAGGTATGTGGATTTTAAAAGGCCAGCCCTTTTAGGCCCTGGTCCTTCAAGGGCTAACCCTTTAGAGCCGGGCTGACCCTTATTGACAGCTCTACTGCTTTCAAGTTTGAACTTTGAACGCTTAGCAGCTCAGGCGGCTAATTAATGCATGACTAATATTAATCATTTAAATATTCTTATTGACAAAGTCGGATTGCCCCATCGGATCTCACGAAATCCCCTCCTCCAGCGCTACTTCGACTGGAACACTACAGGACGGAAACAATCTCATTGAGGTAAATCATCACACATGGATCCTTCAACGCTAGCCATCCCTGCAGTGATATTTCTCTCGTTTCTCTTCATCCTTAAACAGCGTCGGAAATACAGTAGAGATGGCCGGAATGGGAGACAGCCACCACCAGGTCCACCGGCTCTGCCGATCATCGGTAACCTCCACTTTTTGGGTCAACTCCCCCACCGCGACCTTGAATCCTTGTCCAGAAAATACGGACCTATCATGTCCTTTCGGTTAGGACAAGTACCGGCGGTGATAATTTCCTCATCGGAAGCCGTCGAATCGTTGCTCAAGGCGAACGACGCTGTTTTCGCCAGCCGTCCCAGGCTTCAAGCCTACGACATCCTTACCTATGGATCCAAAGGCATCGTATTTTGCCAGTATGGGCCTTACTGGAGGAACATGAGGAAATTGTGCACCTTGCATCTTCTCAGTGCGTCAAAAGTGGAGTCTTTCGCTCCTCTGAGGAGGGAAGAGTTGCAGGCCGTTGTCAGGTCCCTTGAAGAAGCTGCGGCGACGCGTGAGGTTGTAGACGTTAGCCAGGTGGTGTCTGGGGTTGTAGAGAACATTGTCTATAACATGATACTGGGGGGTAACAACGCTGACTTACTTGATTTGAAGGTGTATATTCATGAAGCAATGAGCCTCGCCGGTGCTTTTAATCTGGCGGATGTCGTGCCTTGGCTTGGGCGATTTGATCTTCAGGTATGAAATAAACTCCGTTATCTTTTTATTTTCCCTTTTTTTTTTTCAGTTGAAAGGCACAGTACATTTTTTATTTTAAAGAAATTTTTTTAATGGCATGATTGAACCAACTTTATTAGAACAACATAAGATACCCTGCATCCAATGGAGTCACTTTGCCTGGACTTTGGACACATGCAGAGTCATTAATGTCTAAAGTGATCTTCAATTATACTAACTCGTATTCTTAATATACAAGTGAATTTGATTTTTAATTTGATTTTATGTATAAGACCGTAATCAATTTTGTTTTTTATATTTATTTTTTTTAAAAATAGTTTTTCTAGTAACTGCACATCTTAAGGATATCATTAAATATTAGTTCTAGTTAATATATATGATTAGCAAATATATTTTATAAAAAATAATAACTATTTATTATAAATAAATAAATTAACAAATTTTCTTATTCTAATTAGTTTTTATATCAAAGAGAGCAGATAGAATCAAATAAATAGCACTGGACCCTAAATCAATTGAAGTTGTGCTATACGATCAGGGACTGAAACGAGCCATCACAAAAATCGGTAAAGCATTTGACGAGATACTAGAGAAGATAATTGAAGAGCATGAAGATGCTATTAACTCACCAAAGGACCGACAAGACTTCATAGACATACTGCTCTCATTGATACACCACACCGTGGACGGACAAAACTATGGCATTGAACGAACTAACATTAAGGCTATTGCACTGGACATGATTGCTGGGGCATTCGAAACTTCTACCTCTGTCATTTTGTGGGCCTTATCTTCACTAATAAGGCATCCTAGGGTTATGAAAACCCTTCAAGAAGAGCTGGAAACTGTGGTTGGAAGGAACAAAATGGTGGAAGAGACAGACTTAGCAAAGCTTCATTATTTAGATATGGTGATCAAGGAGACCCTGAGATTATACCCTGCAGGAGCATTGACCCCTCGAGAGTCAACGGAGGATGCGGTAGTTGGTGGTTACTATGTGAAGAAAAACACTCGAGTTCTAATCAATATGTGGGCTGTAGGAAGAGATCCTAAGGTCTGGTTTAATGCCGAAGATTTCTGTCCGGAGAGGTTTGTCGAGAAGAACGTTGACTTTCGAGGACTTGACTTTGAGTTCATACCGTTTGGATCTGGTCGCAGAGGATGTCCTGGTATACACATGGGTTTGGTTACAGTTAAATTCGTTGTAGCTCAATTGGTTCATTGCTTTAATTGGGAGCTTCCGTTGGGACAGGATCCGAATCAATTGGACATGAGTGAGAAATTTGGCTTGTCACTCCCAAGAGCCAAGAACCTGTATGCTGTGCCGACTTCTCGCATTAAGCCCCATTAAAACTTGTTTGGAGTGCCCTGTACCGATGTACAATAAATATGATATGTAGAATGGCTTGTTTAATACTACCTCCGATCTTAATTATAAGACCTTATTTACAGTTTATAGAAGATGTCTTATAACGAGGGTCAGAAGTAATAAATAAAACAGCACCATACCTATTCTGTTAGGTAGTCTCATATGGATATATATATATAGAGAGAGAGAGAGAGTGATAAACAGAGTATTCTGCATCTCTGTTTGTTACGCCTGTGGGTGATGCTTGGGTAACTGGTTGAAATTGGAAATTAGTGACTGGAAAAATATTCAAAATAGTATTTCAAACTAGTTGCTGGTTGAAAAATACTCATCGCAAAAGGCCAAAACATCAATATAGTTTCTTCAAAATTAGCAATCCCTGCCCTGCTCCTTTGCCGACATTCTTTTTCAGGGCATCTTCTGCCTTCCAGAACATCCATTTTCCTCCAATCGTACGACGTCGTTTCTGCGATACCCCACGCCCCCTCCATGGTCCATGTGTAATCTTTCTCATGACAGCAGCAAGGTCACTCTCACTAATTGCAATTTTGCTCAGCACTTTATTTTTGCAAATTAAATGCTACCACGTACCCATAAATTTTGGACTGATTAATTGTAAATTATGCCCTGCAATGCCATTGGATCTAGTAATTAACCGCAAATTTGGACCTTTTTTCCCCCCAAACCGGCCACTAAACTTTTCAGTTAACAGTCCAAGGATCAGGGAAGTATTCGTAGCTAGTCTGGAATATTAAATGTGAAAATTTAAATTTGGGCAAAATGTCATACTCTTCCGGTTCTTAATATAAGACCCAGTTCTTGAATGAGTTTTGGTTCTAAATATAAGACCTATTTATCATATTTATCAATTTTTTCTAAATTACCCCTATGGATACTCCCTCAACCACAATCAAATAGAAGAGACAGATGGGGTATTGAGAAGGATGATTATAGTGTTTTAGGAAAAATAAGTCACTTTTCTTATAATTAACTAACTTACCTAACTTCCTTAATCTAATCAAATTAGTTAAATGAGTCTTATATTAAGGATCGAAGGAGTATTATCAAGCATATCATATAGAAAATCTTTGTATCACTCAGGTCCTAAATATAAAATCCTTTTATGTAATTTGATTTTCTTTATATCTCTCTGGTACTAAATATAAGATTCTTTTTATAGTGTAAATTATATTACAAAAAGAGTCTTATATTTAGAACCGGAAGAGTAATAGAAACCAAAGGTAGTAAACTCTACAACGTGTGCTTTTGTGAGAGTGTGTTCTATGGAAGCTTGTTTTGTGAGAGGGATTTATAAGGAATAGGACATATAGAATGTTGAAGAGACTCACTCTCCCTTCACTTGGTTTAAAAAAAAAAAAGAAAAGAAAAGAAAAGGGAATTTTCCCTCTCCTTCTCTGCTGTCTCCATATTTTGGAATCGTGGGGAGCACATAAATTTTATAATGACTAAATTGTTTTTATTTATTAGTACAGGGTAACATAAGATTGCTCTTCATATATTCCATTAGTCTCTAAGGCTATGTTTGGTTAGAAGGTTGTTGAGGGGAGGGGAGGAAAGGAGAGGGAAAGGGATGATATAAGTGTGTTTAGTTGGAAAAAATAGAGGGCAGGGGAGAGAAGAAATTTGTCTTTTAGTACTCCCTTCACCTCTTTATACTCCCTTCCAAATTTGGAGTTTTTTGGAGGGAAGAGAAATATTATATTTAATATTCCAAATTTGGCTTTCTTATTAGAAATCTTTTTTTACTTCTTTCTTCTTTCGGCCACTAATAATATTTGATAATGATAATATAATATTATAATTGTATAATATATACATATCATACCAAGTTTGTATTATAATTATATATCATAGAGTGTGTATTATAATCTCAGATAGGTTACAAACATGCATATATATTAATATATACGTATCATATATATTAATATATATAATTATAAAATTAATGAGATAGAATGTTAAACTTTTTATCATATTTCCTAATTTTTTTTAGTTTTATCATAATTTTTTATCACATATAAGTGAGGTAATTGGTTTTTTTGAAATTTGAAAATTAAGAAATATTAATTTTAATATAAATATTGTAATAAAAGAATAAAACGGTCTAAATATGAAGATAAAGACATCTTTGTCAATTTATAATTATCTCCCTCCTATTTTCTTATGAACCAAATAAGAAATTTCTCCTCCCTTCCCCTCACCTCCAACCAAACAAAACTCATGACCTCCTTTCCCCTTCTCCTCCCTCCTTTTAATTAACCTCCCATCTCCTCCCTTCTGTTAAACCAAACAAAGCCTAAGGTAGGATTTAATTATTAAGTTGATATTGTTCTTAAATGTAAAATCTATTTCTCATATTCATCAAATTTTTTTAAACTATCTTTATTGATACTTCCTCAACTATAATCAAATAAGAGGGAGGAAAGATATTAAAGAAGATAATTATGATATTTAAAAAAAATATGTCATTTTTTTTATAATTAACTAACTTATCCAACTTTTTAAATTTAATCTAGTTAATTAAATAGTTCTTATATTAAAAACCAGATGAATGTACAATTAAGTCCCTCTAAGAAAAATCTCACATGCACGTTAGGCGTGTGTATTGGTTACGTATGGAGAATATACAATGAGCACGAGATTCCTATCGTAGTTTTTGTCGCTCAGAACACTCAGAATTAAAAGAACATATACATTTGCATATATTGGAGGGTTAGCAGGATATGGATTTCGATTCATGCCATATTCTTGTGCTAATAATTGCTAGTGATCCTTCAACTCCAAAAAGGAAAAAAAAAAAAATCGTTACTGATCCCCGACATGCGATGAGTCGCAATCGGTCTAATCAAGCCGCACTAATATGATTCATGATTGGAACATTATATATGCTTGGGATACAGCTCCTATAAGGATATTATTTTTTTTTCCATCTTTATCAATGAAAATAATTAAAATTAAGGTAATAATTCGAAAATGCAGCTGCCGACTTAGGCTCTGTTTGTTTTGAGTGTGTAAAAGTAACTCAGCCAACTTATAAGCATTTTTTAGAAATTATGACACATTTGGGTGAGCTTTTCTCCTATCTCACTTAAATTAAAGGCCAATAGCTGGATTCACAAGCGTGATTGGGTTAAACACCCTAGAGTTGTTTATTACCCTTCTGATTCTAAATATAAGATTCGTTTTATAATATAATATTATTAAAAAAGTCTTATATTTAAGATCAGAGATTTTTTTTATCGTGTTTATTGGTGGTTGGTAAGGAATTGTTAGCACAATAATTACTCAAAAATTCTTTTTTCTTACTCTTCTCCGGCAGTCTACGCTCACTCTTCTTGGATCCATCTCTTTGCTCCTTCACCTGCTCCCTTCCTCTTCTCGTCCGACTTGTTCTTGCAGTTGCCAAGTTGGGCTCGCCGTCTCCAACTCCGAGCCGCCGTGGGAGGGAGCATCGAGAGCCAAGGCAAGAGACTTGACCAGTTCCGTTGCAGGGTGGGTAGCGTGGAGGGCGATAAAGAAAAGGCAACAAGATTTGGGGCCCATAAAATTATAAATAAAAAATAATTAAATAAAAGAGGTAGTGAGCACACGTTTTCAGGGTAGCTCTCTGCTTGGAATCTTGTAGAGATATTTTTCTTTCCCTTTCGGCATCTTACTCCTCTGATATATTACAAAATTTTTATTTAATTAAGTCCAAATTTGGAAATTATTTTCGTATTTAAAAAAATATGTTCCGTAGAATTTTAATCTAAATATATTTATTTCATTCAATTTAGCTTCTTCCAATTAAAATAGTTTAAAAATAGTGTATTGTGTAAATTGATATTTTTTTATTTTATATTATCTAATAAAAAACATTTCTATTTTGGTAATTTTACAAACTAAATTTACTTATTCAATTGTAATCCAAACAACTTTTACTTTTATCTATTCTAACTTTCTTAAAAATCAATCCAAACATAAATCACATTATCCAATCTAATTTTTACCTAATTTAACTTGAAGATGAATTACTTTTTATTTTACTGCTATTCAAAACAGGCACTCAATAGCAAGGTATCATTGTCCCTTTGTATAAGTTCTATGCTCAAGCCGTCATCACGTATGAATATTCAGACGAGATGAAGCCTCCTCATATTATGATTGTATCATTTTTTTTGAACATGTAATACTATCTCCAATCCTAAATATAATATCTAATTTACAGTTCAAACTTCAAAGATAAAATCACAAAAAGTATATATAAATACCCACCAACCCTCCGTCATCATCCAAATCCCACAAATAGCCCAAAACATCAACATGTTGCCTTCAACATTAGCCATTCCTCCTCTATTCGTTGTGACATTCTTATTCATAGTATTTTCTATCTTCTTAAATCTGAAACAAGCAAACATCGTCGGAGGATGCCACTAGGTCCCAGGGCATTGTCGATCATCAGAAACCTCCACATGTTGGGGAAAGCCCCCCCATAGCGTCGTTGCAGCTAGGGCAGGTTCCTACAGTAGTGGTTTCCTCTCCTGAAGCTGCGGAACTATTCCTCAAGACACAACGTCGTTTTTGCTAGCCGTCCTAAACTCCATGCCTCCAGGTATATTTCTTATAACAATAAGGGATCCGGTTTTTGCCGAGTGCGGTCCGTACTGGTAGCACGTGAGGAAAGTGTGCGCTCTTCAACTTCTCACCACAGTAGGGGTGTTCAATTGTGTCTCGTCCTAGTGTCCTGTCTCTGTCCTAGTCATTTTAGGACGGGACAATCCCGTTCTGAAAGCTTTTGGGACATGACAAAAGTAAGACAGAACAAAATTGTTTCAAGACAGGGATGTCCTGTCTTGTTCCTGTCCCAATATATTATTTTTATTTATAGCTGTTACTCCTCTGATCTTATTTATAAGGCAAAAAGAGAATGTATTTTTTGGTCCTATTTATAGGACACTGAGAGAAATTTTTGTATGAATATATAATTTTACTCCTCATTTATTATTGTGTTGATTTTGTTTATACGAGGTATAATGTATACTAAGTATGGATAAAGTTAAAAAGTCATTAAATTTTAAATGAAAGTTAATAAAGTTTAAGGTTTTTCTTAACCTATGTGAAACATACTGGAAGTGTCTTATAAATAAGACTCATCATTTATTTTATTTGCCACTATAATAGTATTTTGGTAATGATATTTATCAATTGTTATTTTTTATTTGTTTATGAGTTGTTTTTGTATGGGTGACATGATATTCTTTGTAGTGAATATTTTAGGTTTGTTTATTTTTGTCTCTCATAATTACAAAATACATTTTTCTTTGTCATTGGTTGGTCATTTTATATATTTTCCTCACATAGTTTTTATTATAAGTTTTACATTTTCTGTATAGTTAGTTTGCAAATTAAAAAATTAAAAAAAAATTAAAAAAGAGAGATAGGACGTCTTTGTCTCATCTCAATTATGTTCCGTCTCAATTGAAACAGGAGACTATTGGGACAGGATGGGATGGGACATAGGATAAAAAAGCCACCTCATCCTAATAAACTGGGACGAGATCATCCTGATAAACTAGGACAAGATCGTCCCTCTCCCATTCCGTCCCATGAATACCTCTTTCAGGATTGAGTTTTTCGCTCCTTTGAGAAAATAGGAACTAAGCCTGGTGGTGGACTCATTAGGAAAGCTACGGTGGCCCGTGAGGATGTGGACATTTACCGAGGTCGTGGCCGAAGATGTAGAGGATATGACGTATAGGATGTTAGTGGGCCAGCCTAAGGACGAACACTTTGGTCTCAACATTACTAGAAAAACACCATTTTACACCACTGAATCCTAATAAATAAGATGGCGGTATTGTTGTAAATAATAATACAAAATTTGAACTAGTTATAACCACGCCCGATGTCATTATTACTTTTTATATCGAACGTTAACTCAACTAGTGTAATAGTAATTAAATGGCATTAGTAATTGTGGACAACCAGAGTACTTTTTAATATTTACATTGGCCTATCTCTTGCCTTTTCCTTTTCCCAAAGTAATCTGAACTTGAACTGTCACTAGTCATGTCCTGTCATTGTCTATTTAAGCTTAGAAGCTAACTATCCTTCTCGTTCTCCATCTTCCATGTTTGCTACCGCTAGTAGGTTTACAATGCTGAAATGGTAGAAAACCATTCCAACCCATTCTCTATCTTTTCCTCCTCTACCTGCCTACTCCCTCCCCCACCTCCCCCACCTTCCTTGCCGCCCCCTCCACCTCCCGCTCCTTCACAACTTCTCGACTAGTTACTTCAAAGAGTAGCAGTGATTGATTGCAACCTCCGCTGCTTAGTGGCTCATTTCGACACCCCCAACAATGAGATCAAGCTCCTACTCGATTACATGCACATCAAGTATGATGCACGGATGACCCCTCTGCTGCCTCTTCCTCGTCATTTGATGAAGAAGCTTTCTCCTCCTCTTCTGCCTATTAGTTTTTTTATTATTGTAAAAATGCCATTTTTTATAAATATTTTGTAAAGGCGGCTTCTGCATCCCCACCAAATATAAATATATAATGATATTTCGTGATGATCTTGTGTTGTTTGTTTATTTTAAAGCATTTTTTGTTCTCCAATATTTAACAATGAACCTTGAAACTGGTAAAAATGTAGTCTTTTTTTTTTGCTAGCCAGTTTAAAGAAAGACAAGAATTGGTAAAAATTAACATTTAAAATTTACACTAGTTATCTTATGTTCGATGTAAAATGATTTTTCAACACTGGTTTCTATGTCAACTGGTGTTAAAATTTTGCCCTAACTATAAATAAGGCTCCTGTTCCCTTAGTTTTGTAGTCTTAGTGTTGAGGTCTTAGAATACAGAGAGGTGCTCTCACCTTTGGAGCTCTGTGGACATGGCATGGAGCACTCAAGTCATCTTCTGTCGCTTGCCATTGTCATTGCTGTCCATTGCCTTTGCCATTCTAGTCTCACCGTAGGTATCATCATCGTTGTTTTATTTCTTCATTGAAATATTTGCCTAAACCTTAATATAGATTTCTTTTTATTCGAGATCAACTTTGAATCTATCCATTAAAAGTTGCAATAAACTGTCTGAGGCTTGAGGCATGATTGTCGTATTTGGTCCATTAAAGAGGATGGAACTTTGCCAAGTATTTGTTATTCAAGTATGATCAACTTTGAGTTGCAGCACCTTAAATGACCAAATACTTGTCAGAGATCTAGTTCATCCTTATAAAAGGAACTCAGCTTTGTTTTCTTTCTCTTCGTCGACTACTGGTAACTCATCTTCCTGCATTTTCTTTCTCCTTAATGAGCTATTTCCCTAAATCCCATACTAGTTAGTTTTTAATTGTTAGATTACTTTATGTTTTCACAATTTTTTTTTAATTTGTGGCAAAACAAATTAGAAGAAACAGCTAGTATAAGAAAATTAAAAAGAAAAAGTCTACTTAGACTTTTTTCATTTAAATTTTTAGTATTTACATCGGTTGGCATAATAACTACTATTTACATCATAGTTTTCTATATCTATTGGAAAACCAGTATAAAAAGTGCGGACTTTTAACACTGTCCATTTTTACATTGGTCATTTTTCTGTTGTCAAATGCTCATTTTAATTGGTGTAAAAGACTTTTTTTGTAGCAGTGCAAGGCTCTTGTCCTTATGCACTGCTCTCTCCTTAGTCGGAACTTTCAATATTGCCGATTTTCTTCCATGGTTAACGCCATTTGATCTTGAGGTAAACCTTCACGACTTTGCCAAATCCTATCGACTTAAATAGTACTGTCAGTTACATGAAAACACTGCTTGAAAGAAAATTATCTGGATGGCTCTATTTGACCATTTCTTTGGCTTTACATATGTGTGAGTCTTTTAGAATCATCAGTTAATTAACTATATCTATATTACTTTGTTATGATTATTTGTTACTGTTACTGTTAATAAAATATTTGGTGAATTCATGGGGGGCAGGGATTAACTCCACGCTTAAAGAAACTAAGTCAAGTACTTGATGAAGCATTGGAGAGATTAGCTCAGGACCATGACAAGGCTCTTAACGCAAACAGAGACCGGCAACAGGGGGACTTCGTAGATATATTGCTGTCATACATGAACCAGCCAGTGAATAGCCAGGACGAAAGTGCTATCGGTCGAACCCACATCAAGGCCGTTATTTTCGACGTGTTTGCAGCAGCGCTCGACTCATCAGCTAATGTTGTTTCATGGGCACTCTCAGAACTCATGAGACATCCAAGAATAATGAAAAGACTTCAAGATGAACTTGAACAAATAGTGGGACTGACTAGACCGGTCGAAGAATCTGATTTGCCGTACCTAGATTACCTATACATGGTGGTCCAGGAGATCCAAAGACTTTATCCTATCGGTCCCTTGATTCTTTCTCGAGAATCCACTAACGACATCACAGTCGATGGTTATTTCATCAAGAAAAAAAAAAAAAAAAATACGAATCCTCGTCAATGTGTGGGCTGTAGGTCGAGATCCCAAAGTGTGGTCGGACAAAGTTGAAACATTTTACCCAGAAAGGATACGACTTTCAATTGTTGCCTTTTGGTGCTGGTCGCGGAGGAGGTCCTAGTATATATGCAATTAGGTTGGTTACTGTCAAACCTTTTCTGCCTTAATTGGTTCATTGCTTTCATTGGGAGCTTCCAAGTGGCAAGAGCGTCGATGACATGGGCATGAACGAGAAATTTGGCTTAACTATGCCAAGAGCGCAACACATGTTGGCTGTCCCAATTCATATATAGTGCAGCTCAGAAAGTATTAAATAAACGTTGTTATGATCGGTTGTTACCAAAAATAATATAACAATGGATGCATCACAAATAAGAGAGATCTCTCGTTGGAAACATTTTCCCATATAATATAAGATTGAAACAGAGGTGGCAATTCCGTATGAAACCCCAATGAAAAGTGATAGATCTGAGGACCTATAGCTTGTGAGAACTAGCTAATTAAATTAAAATCACGAGCATCTGTCGTTTGGCCTGGCTATTTTAACAAACACCAAATAGAGTTATATAGATGAACGCGAGAAGCATATAGTCCATCCTTCTATGTGAGGAGCTTCGGGCTACTAGGGTTTGGTTCTTTCGGTGAAGTTGAGCTAGGTTTTGAAGATTTGAGAACATTGAAGTTTTTTTTTTTTAAGGTTCTTTCCTCTTCCCGTCCTTCGTTCTCTCTTAGTTTGTTTTAGTATGTATTCAAAATTTGTGCATCTTTGAGACTTGGTTTTGAACGTGAAAGGCTTAGCTCTTGATCCTAGGATTACATTTTGAATAATCTTGTCTTTCATATACTCCTCTGGTTCTTAATATAAAACCTAATTAACTAATTTGATTAGATTAAAGAAGTTAGGTAAGTTAGTTAATTGTAAAAAGTAACATATTTTTCCTAAAACACCATAATCATCTTTCTTAATATCCCATCTCCCTCTTCTACTTGATTATGGTTAATGGAGTATCTATAGGGGTAATTTAGAGAAAATTGATAAATATGAGAAATGGGTCTTATATTTAGGACCAAAACCAACTCAAGAATTGGGTCTTATATTAAGGACCGGAGGAGTATAATTAGAAGCATTCCAAGTTCAAGTGGACAACGTTGTGGTACGTCATCCATTCATTTTTAGCCGGGCCTATCCGAATTACCATCTCCAGTGTGAATGAGGTTACTAATTCCCCGCTAGACTGGAAATCTAATACAACAAAGGAGATCATGTCAATATGAAATAAACTCTTCCTTGCTCTAAATTCCGACTGCTGAAATATCTAATAATCTTTTGTCAGCCCAAGGTCACAGGGATAAAGTCCTAAACATGGTCGAGGAAGCACACCGATATGCCATGCTGATTTCTTTTTTCTCAAGTCAAATATTGAGGGTTGAATGTATATATAGCTATATCATAGTACTTTCGGTGCTAAATATAATAGCTAGAGCTGTTATATTTAGAATTGGAGGTAGTGTATTTATCATTTTTTTAAGCCCCAACACTTTATCAAACAATAAATTTCCTTTCCTTTTCATGGTTAAACAAAACATTTATTTTGAACCTAGAAACGAGATTCTTACGCAAGTCTCTTTCCTCTCTTCTTTTTCTTATAAATGACCCTTTCATGTTGAACATGATTTTTCATGCAATTCGTGTGACTTTTTCGAATGGAGAATTGAAACTCGACACTTTCCGTCTATAAATGCACCTTTTAAGAAGTCTATCTACTTGTTTGTGTAACGTTTCTTCAACTGATTTAATTGTTGTGCTACATATTTCTTCAACTTATTTAATCGTATGCCAAATATTTCTTCAATTGAATTAATTGACCTTCATATGGTTTCTCATTGGACGATGTTGCGTTAGGAGAAACCTTCTATAAATTCCATTTTCGTGATATCCTCGGGGAGTTTAATTTTAGTTCCGATTTATTAAAATTTACAAGGAACCTTAATCTAAACACAACATATATAACATTTTTAATTAAAAATCTTTTTACACATATAATACTATATTTTTTTTTATGAAAAACTTACGTTAGGTTCCTTATATCTATTATGTCAAGTTTTCCAATCACACATTGTCATATGTCTTTTTTCTTTTTTATGCGATTTATAATTAAATGCCATTAAATTCTAATATTTTAAAAACTGATAAATGATTATGTGTTATTAGAAAACTTGACACAATAGATATAATAAACTTGATGTAAGTGTTATCCTCTTTTTATCTCAAAAAGTATTTTATTTCTTTCTTACATTTTCTGTAAGGTCTCATTTCATTATTATCGTATTTTTTTTTACTGTGATATAATTTTTTATTTTATAAGAATAAAAATATATATTAATTTAATTACAACTAACTGATATAATCATAGAATCTCAAACGAGCATATCAATTTGTTCAATGACAAGTATGGTTTAACTAACATAAGTCATATATAGGGGAAATTTTTAGTTCATTTGTAAGGTATTTAATAATTTTTCTAAAAAACTTTATTCTTAATTCTCATTAGAAAATAAGAAAGACAAGTAAGGATATTTTGCAAATGCATATAGGGAAAAAACTTTAATAAAAATAAATTTAATTTTTTTATTAATTTAATGCATTTTTAATATGTGAGCATTAGCTACAAATGTCTTATAATAAGAACAAGACTGATAACTTATTCACAAGGCCAACCTTTTAAAGTTATGCCCACTAAATCATATTACCTAATCTTTAGTATAAGAGTTATTTAATTAGTTTTGGTAGATTGAAGAAGCTAGTTAAGTTAGTAATTTATAATAAATATAAATTGATTTTTTTAAAGTATCTTTTTAATCATAACTAATTCTTAAATAAAAACTCCCTTAATATTTGTCATTAATAAGGATACTTTAGAAAATATATTATAATTAAATTTTGATAAATAAAATGGATTGAAATATTATATTTAGAACCAAATCAATTCACGAACTAACTCTTATTAAAAATAATAGGTAGGCGGCTATTAGCTTAACCTTATGTTTGGTATGAGAGAATTAATGTGTTTGGTATCATAGAATTAAGGGAAAATTTCAGAAAAGGTCCATCGAATATATGAAATCCCAGATTGGGTTCTGGAATTTCCAAAATGACAGAAAGGGTCAGTGACTCAATCTGTCATTTGTGAAATTAAGACCAATTGACAATTTTGCCCCTGCCTAAGTGAGTAGTTATTCTCTACACAAATCTAGGTAACGCTTACACTGTTCTAGTGATTATAAGATTAGTTGTAGTTAATAATTACAAGATTAGTTGTAGTTAATAATAAGGTGCCTGACTATGAAAAAGTGAATAGTTATTCTCTACACGAATCTAGGTAATACTTATATTGTTCTAGTGATTACAAAATTAGTTGTAGTTAATAACAAGACACCTGAATATGAAAAAACGAGTAGTTATTCGTTACATGAATCTAAGTAATGCTTAAACCCTTATAGTGATTTCTTAAATCATTGTAGTAAATAAATACAAATGAGGGAAAAATTGTCAATTCCTCTTGATTTGCCAAATTGGGTCACTGACCCTTTCTGTCATTTTGAAAATTTTAGGACCCAATCTAGGATTTCATATATTCAAGGGACCTTTTCTGGAATTTTCCCTAGAATTAATGGAGGAGAAGGATGGGGAGAAAAAATTTTCATGAGTTTGATTTAAAAAATTGGACAAGTGGGTTTATAAAAGTTTGATAAAGAAAAGATATAAAATAAAAAAATAATAAAACTAATTAAAAGCTTTTAATTCTACTGTGACTTTTAATCTATTAACAGAGATTTTTTTTTTGAGCAAACAGAGAAATCTATTAAGCGTGTGTGTTTGAGAGAGAAGAATATTGCTTCAAAAGATTTTTATAAGAAAATGATATAACGTTACAAACATTAATCATTTCGTTTAAAATTTTGCGAAATAGATAATTTTATGGTGTGAAGAAGAGCACGAGGCACAATAGTTAGGGGTGATAATATGGGCCAACCCAGGTTAGGGTTAGGTGGTGCGGGCTACGTGTAATGGAACCTGTCATGGTGGGTTGATGAGTTGGCTGCCTACTATTTTTTTTTAAATTTTTTTATTTTTAATATTTTTTCTTATACAATATAAAAAATATAATAAAATTTTTATCTTTTATTTAAATACTTGATTAAAAACACAAAATAAATAAATGATATAGGTATTTTTAAAATTTTTTAGATAGAATACATAATATAATAATATACATATAATGATTAATCAAATTTAAAAAATACAAAAAAGTAAATACGGGTTGGTCCGCGGGTTGGCAGGCTAACCCGCAGCAGGTTGTGGATTTGACAGTACGGGTTGAAAAGCGTTGTTTACTAGTGAGTTGAGATTTGTCAACCCTAATCTATTATTTTTGTTGGGTTGGCAGGTTGGATCCACGAGTACAACCTATATTACTAGCTCTAACAATAGAAGCATGTTATGGGAGATGTTTAAAGCACGCATTTATTATTCACCAAAAGGGGCGCGCATTTACTAACTTGCCTACTTCTACACGCCTTTTTTCACTTAATATTTCAACCATCGCTATCCTGGGGTAAGATTTTCTTTTTCTTCCTTCTTTTTCTTTATTTTCTTTTCTAGGAAGATCTCATATATAAACAGTTAAAATAGAGTATTTTATTTGATCCTAAATATCAAAATTAACAAATTCAGGAGTTTGCTTTGGTATTAAATTTAAGACTTAGTGTATTTTGTTTTCTAGATATATAATACTTTTTTAAACTATCCCCACTGATTACATATATTAAAGAGAAGTTTTCATATGAAATAATTTTCATTGAAAATTATTAAATTATTAAGGAGTTACCTTAGGAAAACAAACACGTAGTAATTTTTTAATAAATAATTAACTCAAATGATTTTCTTAATTTATATAAATTAGATGTTTAGTCCTTATATTGAGCATTCAAAGGAACAAGGATTGGAATTATAAAATGAACTATTTTCTGTTATCGACCATCTTGATTTGGATAATCCATATTTAATTTTTTATTTTTTTAAAAAATAATTATTTAAATGAGTATAGAAACTAAAATAAAGATAATTTCTTAACTACCATTTTTAAGAAACAATTTTTTATTTAAAAATAAAAAAACTTAAATCTGCACCATCCAAATTGAATTTGAAAATCATGAGTTTTGGGGGCGGATCAGCACTTAAACTCATTATAAAATGCAAACACAAGGCAACCCCAATTTCTTGTATTAAGTGTCTTCCGTCTCCGAAGCAACCATTCCAAGATGATTCCATCGATATCAGCGTTTCCTGCTATCCTCTTTCTCATATTCATATTCGTTTTGTCCACTTCCATACTCTTTGCAAAAGGACAACGAGATGATCGAAAACGACCACCAGGCCCAATGTCCCTCCCGATCATCGGCAACCTACACTTGCTGCTGGGAGAACTGCCCCATCGCAGCCTCCAATCGCTAGCCCAAAAGTATGGTCCCATAATGTCGTTAAAGTTGGGACAAGTTCCTGCGATTGTCGTTTCGTCCGCTGAAGCGGCGGAGCTATTCCTCAAGACTCACGACACCGTTTTTGCATCCCGACCCAAAATACAAGCGGTGGATCCACTTTCTAGAGGAACCAGGGGACTAGCTTTTGCAGAGTATGGTTCGTATTGGAGACATGTAAGGAAAGTGTGCACCCTCCATCTTCTAAGCGCGTCAAGAGTGAAGATGTTAGCTCCTTTGAGGAGTGAGGAAGTAGGGTTGATGGTGAAGTCATTGGAGAGTGTTGCGGCGGCGCGCGAGGTCGTCAATCTCAGTGAGGTGGTCGGGGACCTCATAGAGAATATAATTAACAGAATGATCCTAGGATGTGCTAAGGATGATAGGTTTAACTTAAAAGGGCTTGTTGAGGAGGCACTGAGCTTGGCGGGACAGTTTAATCTGGTTGATTATGTCCCGTGGCTAGGTATACTTGACCTCCAGGTATATAATATCTCGCTTGTTGCTTGGGTCTTCTTTTTGGTCTTACATTTCTCATAATTTCCTCTTGCCTTACTTTTCTGTACATTCAAACTAAGGAATAAAAAGGCCTGTTTAAGCTTAAAGATTTGCCTACATGAAAAATAACATCAAGAATAATGGCACCCAATTTTCTTCTTAACGCTAGCAGGCGTGGGATATTTTTGAAGGACATCTTACTTCAACTTATATTGTTAACTTTCATTGATGACTTATTAACTTAAAGAATTTGCTTTAATTTTGTGCTAGTAGTCGATCATTTTAAGAGCATGATAATTGGATTTCCTTCCATTTTTCTTTGACAACAAATGGTTTCTTCGATACCCCTCTAACGTTATACAGATAAAGTGGCGTGTTTATGGATAAAAGCTGGCCAAAACATTGATATATAGATGTGTGTGTGTGTGTGTGTGTGTGTGTGTGTGTGTGAAACTCTGGCTCTAATGACCCATTTGACTAATGTATGACAGGGTTTGACACGAAAATTAAAGAGAAACATTATGGCACTTGACGATGTGTTGGAAAAAATAGTCAGAGAGCATGAACAAGCTACAAGAGAACAAAATGGCCAGCATCACGTCGACTTCGTACACATAATGCTTTCCTTGATACGTCAACCTACGGATTTGTATGACGACCAAAACAGTGTTATTGATAGAGACCACCTCAAGGCTATTTTAGCAGATATGATTTTTGCCGCAACTGACACTTCTGTCATTGTGGTTGACTGGGCTCTATCTGAACTCTTGAGGCATCCAAGAGTGATTAAAAATCTCCAAAGTGAGCTACAAAATGTGGTTGGAATGAACAGAATGGTGGATGAGGCTGATTTAGCAAAGTTAAGTTACTTAGATATGGTCATTAAGGAGACTCTTAGATTACATCCACCTGCTCCTTTACTTATCCCTCGAGAAAGTATGACGGATGTCACAGTTAATGGATATTACATAAGAAAAAAGTCCAGGATCATGATAAATGCATGGGCTATCGGACGAGATCCTAAGTTATGGTCCGATGATGCTTATATGTTCTATCCAGAAAGGTTCATTGATAACAATATAGATATTCTTGGGCATAATTATCAATTTTTACCATTTGGTTCAGGTCGTAGAAGATGTCCCGGACTTCAAATGGGCATGACCACAGTTAAGTTAGTTGCAGCTCAATTGGTGCATTGCTTTAGTTGGGAGCTTCCTTGTGGCATGTGTCCAAGTGACTTGGACATGAGTGAAAAGTTTGGCCTCACAGTCCCAAGAATGAAGCATTTGCACGCTGTTCCAACTTACAGATTAGATACGGGCTGTTCAAACTGATCAAGGTCTAGGGCTTTACGCTATGCCTTCAGTTATGCGTCTAGTGTACCTTCTCTGAAAATAAAAACTCAGATTACAAGGCCTATCGTTTGAGGAATGATGTGTGTATTTATGTAATAGCAAGATTCCTCATACTTTTCCTTCGATCAGTTTTTTAGTTTTACTTGATGCGTTCTATTGTATATGTGTGTTGTTTTAATTCATGTAAATCACATGAAGAATGTACTGTGCTTGTGTGTGTTGAAATTTATTTCAATAATGTCAAATATATATAGCTTAATGTGTAAGATTTTCTATAGTCTATATATAATTGTTTCTCTCCCCTTGTTTCTATTTTACCTAAGTGGTCAGAAATACACACCACTATATGTGTGTGTATATAAACTACCAGCAAGAGTTGGCTTAATTGGTCAAAAGTCAGCTCATAACCTATAAGACCATGAGTTTGAATCCCGCTGTCAATGTAAAGACCACATTGGTGGGCGTCTGTAAATATTTTTATGAGTGTTTTTTGAGTTTGAAGGTATACCCTGGTCTTGATAAGTCTCCAAGACCCAACTCATCTAAACTTTTAGTATACCAAATATATATATAAACCATTATATGTATAAATATATGGATCTTACAAATAGTATGTTAAAATAAAGATATTTCCTTCAAAAGATTTAGTAATTTGTTATCAAAATGTGATCAAGTTGATACTTTAATTAGAGGCACAATTTCGGGTATTCCGTTGGAAGCAGCAATTTAAATCTAAATTTACTTAAATTTAAGAAACAAAACTAAGTTTAAATTAAAGATCCCATAAATTTGATTTTTTTTTAAATCTTCCCTCAAACAAAGCTAGACAAAACAATAACTGATACCCAAACTATTTTGTTTGTTTTTTTCTTTCTTGGGCAAGCGACAATTCTTTATCATATGCTTATATTCATTATCAGAATAGTGATTGTTAATGTCGCATGATTTTACATGCACATATAATGTCTTAACTTGTCACGGTCCGTACATTTGTCGTGCCAATACACACATATTATCTTATAACCCTAATGTTTGATAGTAATTATAAAATTTATTTTAATTCATTAGATTGTTATTAGAAATTCGATTCATAATAGTTCGGTGAAGATTATTATTCTTATGAGGGGATGCTTCTAATTAAGCTCTGATTTTATCATTTGGTAATGATGTGTAGCGCCCAATAATTAAGTTGCTCAATTATATTGCCTTAGTGATCTGATGATGGCAATAGAGCTTCGTGGATGGTAATTGACGCAAGCTCCATGGAAGTTTCCATCTTTCTTGAGCACCAAGTTTGGATTTTGGACACCAAGAATTTAATTTATCCTTGGGCAAGAAGTAGAGGACTATGTCCATGGAAGAGCTTCCTTCAATTCAACAGCAATCTGGTCAAAAAATTACTGGGAACAAAGAAGATGACGATGCTTGAATATAATATATGTAGTGTGAACTCATCAAATGTCCATATCCATTTATCGGGAGACAAAAGCTCATAATTTTATATATACGAAAGATGTTGATGAGTTTGGATTCTCTTTCTCGAGGGTTTGACACTTTTTTTTTTTGGGTATTTGTTTGTTTCTATCTATTTACGTATTATCTTGCTGATCACGTCATAGGAACAGGATCCTACCTATTTCACATATATATTAGCATTCAATCCGCCACTATCCAGCATAAGCACAAAATTTATTCCCTCTTTGATCGGTTTCCGAAGCAAAACAACCAGACATGTTTCCTTCAACACTAGCGATTCCTGCGATCCTTTTGTTGACATTGATATTGGTCCTATCCACTAATATCCTCTTCCCAAAACGACACAAAGATGGTCAGAACCAACCACAGGGGCCACCGCCCCTCCCAATCATTGGTAACCTCCACATGTTGGGTAAACGACCACACCGTAGCCTTCAATCGCTGGCCCAAAAATATGGTCCCATCATGTCGTTGAAGTTGGGACAAGTTCCTGCAATTGTCGTTTCGTCCCCTGAAGCTGCCGTTCAATTCCTCAAGACTCATGACACTGTTTTTGCGACCCGACCCAAAATACGGGCGGCGGATCCGTTTTCTAAAGGAGCCAACAAGGGAGTGGTGTTTGCCGAGTATGGTCCGTACTGGAGACATGTGAGGAAACTGTGCACCATTCACCTTCTAAGCGCATCAAGAGTGGAGATGTTTGCGCCTTTGAGAAAGGAGGAGGTGGGAGTGACGGTGAAGTCCCTAGAGAGAGCCGCGGCGGCGCGTGAGGTTGTTGATATTAGTGAGATGGTGGGGGAGCTTATAGAGAACATAATTTATCGGATGGTCCTGGGACGCGCCAAGGACGATAGGTTTAACCTAAAAGGGCTGATTAAGGAGGCGATGAGCTTGGTGGGAGCATTTAATCTCGGTGATTATGTCCCTTGGCTCGGTGTACTTGATCTCCAGGTATGTAATGTGCCTATAATCTTTTCGCCTTGAGCATTGATTGTTTTTAAATATTTTTCCTTGCGTTTCTAGATAGAAATTAAACATATATATAGTATGAACTTTAAAAAATACATATTTAATTGGTGTTTATCAGATTTGGATGGTCTAAATTTAAAATTTTTCATTAATTATTTTAAATAAAAATATTTTTGAAAAATGATAATTAACATATTATCTTTATTTTAGATTCTATACCTATTAAAATAATTATTTTAAAAATTAAAATAAAAAGAAAATGAGGTCTGGACTGTCCAGATCATATCTAGACTTTCTAGATTGGTGTTATACTTCATATATAGTGAGCTATTTAATTGATGTTGCTAGGGCTTGACACGAAAGTTAAAAAGAAACAACAAGGTGCTCGAGGATGTGTTGGATAAGATAGTGATGGAGCATGAAAGCACTTCAAAAGAACAAAATTTACAACACCATAACGACTTCATACACATATTGCTTTCCTTGATGCACCAACCTGTGGATCTACAGGACGACCAAAACCATGTGATAGATAAAGCAAACATCAAGGCTATTTTATCAGATATGGTTGGAGGGGCAACTGACACTTCTATTGTTGTAATTGAGTGGGCTTTATCCGAACTTTTGAGGCATCCAAGAGTGATGAAAAATCTTCAAAATGAGCTACAAAATGTTGTTGGAATGACGAGAATGGTGGAAGAGTCTGATTTAGCAAAGTTAAGTTATTTAGATATGGTAATCAAAGAGACTCTTAGACTATATCCAGTTGCACCTTTACTTGTCCCTCGAGAGAGTATGGAGGATGTTACAATCGACGGGTGCTACATAAAGAAAAAGACAAGGGTAATTGTAAATGTGTGGGCCATAGGACGTGATCCTAAGGTTTGGTCTGAAAATGCGCATATGTTCCATCCTGAGAGATTTGTTGACAGCGATATTGACGTTCGAGGACATGATTTTCAACTGTTACCATTTGGCTCAGGTCGCAGAGGTTGTCCTGGCATGAACTTGGGTATGACTAGTGTTAAATTTGTTTTAGCTCAATTGGTTCATTGCTTTTCTTGGGAACTTCCTTATGGCATGTCTCCCAGTGACTTGGACATGAATGAAGAGTTTGGTCTCTCAATTCCAAGAGCCAAGCATTTGCTAGCAGTTCCAACTTATCGTTTACATATGTAAATAGGGTAAGAAGCCTCATTTGAAGTTATTTTAGTGTATGTGCAAAGTCTATTGTTCCGTGTACGTGTAAGAGACTGTGTGTGTGTGTGTGTGTGAGACACAGAGAGAGAGAGACTGTTATACTATTGTACTTTAATTCAATAATGTAATTTAGAGTCCTTCCATTTATACTGGAAGTTCGTGTTTTAAATTCACTCTTATTAGTTGTTAATGTTAACTCACTTGGATCAATACAAAGAGGAACATCTCTTTTTTTTTTTTGTTTTGGAGTGAAAGGCACAACTCATTTTTAATACTCTTCGATGTTTCAGATGACGGTACTCTGAAGGTGAATTGCTGATACGAGTTATGTTTATTTCTCTTCCATGGACGTTTTCAAATAAAAGGGATTTTTCTTTTGGCCAGCCAACAAATCAAATGAATCTATATATTTCATAAATAAAAGCAGACTAGCTACCGCTTGGTGTGTGGTTGAGACAATTTCTGCAATTCCGTGCACCAAAAATCATTTAGTTGATTATGAAATTATTATTATATATTAAAACATCTATTATTTAATACTACCTCTGGTCCTATTTATAAGATTTTATTTGTAGACTAAACGAGATTTTATAATTAGGACCAAATGTATTATCAATTTTGTAACCTAGCATCTATGTCTCAGGAGGGGTATTTTGATCCAAACGTATGACTTAATCGTAAAATAACGAATGGGAAGTGGATGGAAATAAAATGTTAAAAATAAAAGGAATGTTTGTGCTTTATAACTATTGATTTCAGGGGAGGTTCTTACGGCTTTTAAAATCGAAGAAAATCATCTATAATATACTCGTCTGTTTTAAATTTTAATATTTCTATTTAACTTTACCTTTCATGTACTAAAACATCCCGTGCATTCCGTGAGATGTAAATCTAGCGTGTATATTCATAACATTGCCTCTTGAAGAACTCTCGAAAGTTGGCATTATAAATAAATTTTAATTTGGCTGCTAATTCCTTTTTTCCAGCAAGGTATAAATTTATACCTTTACAATAAATGTAAGAGCCATTTTAAAAAATAAAAAATAATACCTAAAATGAATTATTGAACCTTTATTTATTTATTTATTTTACTACATTAACCATTGAAACCTCTTACCTACGTCTCCACTTTCATGTAAAAAGCTCATAATTTTGTTTTTTGTCTCTGAAGAAAGAATCAAACATGTTTCCTCTAACATTAACCACTCCTGCTATCCTCTTCATCCTTACATTCATATTCATTCTATCCACTTCCATGCTCTTCACAAGACGACAACAAGATGATCGGAAACGACCACCAGGACCACCGTCCCTACCAATCATCGGCAACCTTC